GAGAGGAGGTCTCTCCTCAATGGTACAGGCCATGGGGCAGTGCTGGTCAGCTGCATCAGGGCATCAGGAGCTACGAGCAGCACTGGGCATCCGTTTTCCCTGATTCGTTCCAACACCTGAGGCAGGAGCGAGACAGGAGGAAAAGCATATAGGGAGCAGCAGGGCCAAACATGAGCCAGCGCGTCCTTGCTTTTCGAGAAAAACTTCGGGCAATGAGCGTTTTCGTGGGACGCGAATAGGTCCATCTGTGCTCTGCCGAACGTTTTCCACAGGAGCTGGACCGTCTGCGGGTGCAGCGACCATTCCCCTGCTGGAACATTGTTCCTGGACAGTCTGTCTGGTCCCACATTCAGGTGACCAGGCACGTGCGCTGCTCTCAGTGAGAGCAGGTTGTGCTGAGCCCAGACCAGGAGGCGTTCCGTCAGCCTGTGAAGGTTTCGTGACCTGACGCCGCCCTGGCGATTTATGTATGCCACCACTGACATGTTGTCCGACCGGACCAAGACGTGGTGGCCTGTTACCTGGGGACAAAAACGCCGTAGCGCTTTGTCGACTGCTATCATCTCCAAGCAGTTTATGTGAAGGAGCTTTTCCCGTTCTGACCACAGGCCAGCTAGCGGTCTGCCCTCGAGCAGCGCTCCCCACCCCAAGGTGGAGGCGTCCGTAGACACCACCTTCACACTCGAAGTGGTCCCCAGACTCACACCTGACTGATACCAGTCGGTTATTTTCCAAGGTTCCAGAGCTGAAACACACTGTAGGTCGACCCTGAGGCGAAACAGACCCGCTGTCCATGCCCTGGGTGGAACCCGCGCTTTCAGCCACATCTGCAGTGGGCGCATGCGAAGCAAGCCCAACTGGAGTACAGAGGCCGCTGAGGCCATCAGCCCCAGCATTTTCTGAAACCTTTTGAGCGGAACTATCGAGCCGTGGCGGAAGGATTTCGCGACGCGCTGAATATTTAGTCCGCGCTCTGGTGACAGGCGTGCCGTCATGGATAGCGAGTCTAACACTGTTCCCAGAAAGGAAATTTTCTGACTGGGAGACAGTGAGCTCTTCGCCCAATTGACTGTGAGGCCCAGCTCCTCGAGGTGCTCGAGTAATGCGGCCCTGTGTTCTATGAGCTCCGATCGTGATCGAGCTAGAATCAGCCAATCGTCCAAGTAGTTCAGGACTCGCATGCCCTGAAGTCTCAGGGGTGCGAGCGCCGCGTCCATGCACTTCGTGAATGTACGAGGTGCTAGGGACAGGCCGAACGGCAGGACTGTGTATTGATATGCCTGGCCCTCGAAAGCGAATCTCAAGAATCGCCTGTGATGGGACGCTATTTGTATTTGGAAATAGGCGTCTTTCAGATCTAGTGAAATATACCAGTCCCCGTGGCGCACCTGCGCGAGGATTCTCCTGGTCGTAAGCATTCTGAACTGGCGTTTCACAAGCGCTCTGTTCAGCTGTCGCAGATCTAAAATGGGTCTGAGACCCCCATCCTTTTTCGGTACCAGAAAATATCTGCTGTATAGGCCCCCTTCGCTCTGAGCCTAAGATAAAGGTTCTATAGCCCCTTTGCTCAGTAGTTTCGCTATCTCGGCACGAAGTAGATGAGACACTTCGTTTTTCACCGTAGTTTCGACACTCGCCGTATAACGGCTAGGGTGTCGATCGAATTGTAGCGAATAGCTTCTCTTTATAGTGTTCAGCACCCATTCTGATACCCCGGGAAGCTTTGACCACGCATCCGCGTGAATAGCTAGAGGCAGAATGAAATCCGGGCTCTGGCCGCGGGAAAACGGCAGCTCGAGAGCCCTGGTATACTGGGAACACAACACCGTGTTTACAGCGTTCGAGGCGGGGGGCGCGCTGATCACAGCGGGCAGCCTGGCCGCGCTCAGCTTTTCTATGGCAGATTGTGCAGAAAAAGTGAGGGTGGCAGATCCCGTAGGATTCGGCGTGTCTGTGAGAAAATGTGGGCGCGGGACTGCGGGCACATTTACTACACTGAAAACATTGTCGGTTAGAGCCGACTGAATGTGTGTTGGTTTCGTTTTTACAGAAACCAAGGGACACGCAGCATGCAGTGTAAGCGGGCATTGTGACATGGGCGCGTTCACTACATTATTTGCACAATCGACCTGAGTCGATTTTATTTGTGCTAGCCCTGCACCGTGGCGGGCTGTGTTTGGGTGTAGGAATGGGCACTGGGGCGTGGGCATTCTTACAACACTCATAACACCATCGGCCGTGGCCGGAACACCAGAAAATGCACTCTTTATTGGATTTATCTGGGTAGCCGTAAAAACGGCTTTTGTGCGCAGGCAAACGGGCTGAGACACCGGCTGGCTCACTGCGAAATACACTGGGACAGTCGCGATGCTTTGAACTGACCGAGCGAGAAGTTTTGGTGGAAATCCGGCCACAGCGGGATCTGAACACCGTCGCTTTCCTAGAATGGCTAGGAAGACTTTGAGGCCTCGGGCTTGATCTCAATCCTCGGCCGGGGCCCGCGCTGAGGGGGGCGGCGTCCAGCAGAGCGAGAGCGCGGTCTTTGGTCTCGGGCGTGGCGGCGCTGTGAAGCGGCGGCGGGCGGTGCAGGCTGCGGCTGAGAGCTGCGAGCAGACGGCTGTTTTGAGCGGCCTGCAGCGGAGCTCGAGCGCTTCGGAAGGAAGTGCTTCATAGCCTGCGAAGTCTTCTGCACCTCCATGAATCTGTCCGCAAAATCTTTGACGGCAGATCCGAAGAGGCCCGCTGGTGAAATGGGTGCGTCGAGGAACACAGAGCGCTCGGCTTCCGTCATCTCGGACAGCGTCAGCCATAAGTGTCTCTCAGCCACGGTGAGAGAGGCCATATTCCGTCCTATGGCCTGTGCAGCGGCTTTAGCAGCGCGAAGAGCGAGGTCTGCAGCGCTTCTCAGGTCCGCCACGCAGATCGCTTCGGGTCCTTCCTTGTCCAGTTTAAGGAGAAGGTCGGCCTGGAAGATCTGCAGGATAGCCATAGTGTGCAGCGCTGAAACTGCTTGCCCGGCGGCGGTGTAAGCACGTCCGTGCATGGCTGACGTCACTCGGCAGGCTTTAGATGGTAGCGTCGTGTGAGCGCGCCGTCCAGTGGAGGGCGGGCAGAGATGAGACGCTACCGCTGGTTCCACAGGGGGAACGGAGAGGTACCCTCTGTTCTTCGCGCCATCCACCGAGGAGAATGCAGCAGAGGCAGAGGTACGCAGCCTGGCGGAGAAGGGGGCGTTCCACGACTTAGTCACTTCCTCGTGTAGTTCCTTGACTTTGAAAGCGTCCGTCCAGTCTGTTGCGCGGCTGTTGCGCGGGCGCCTCCCAGTCAAGGCCGATGCTTTCCACGGCCTGAGAGAGCAGACGCATCAGCTCAGTCTCAATGCCGGCTCTCTTACCAGTGGTTTGGCGGGAAACGCTAGCGGAGGGGAGGTCCACGGAGCTCGCCCAATCCTCGCTATCAGATGCCAGAAGAGAACACACCTCGGTGGGTTCGTCGAACTTGTGGACGGACGCGGCGGCCGTTGTCCGTCAGTGAGCGACTCGAGCGAAGCCGGCGAAGTTGGCGGGCGAACCTGCGAGCTTTGGCGGGCTGGAGAGAGCTCGGGAGCGCGCTGGGCGCGGCGCTTCTTGCGGCGCGGCACCACGGCGGGCTGTGGTGAAGGCTCGGAGAATGATGCCAGGCGAGTCCTCAGAGTCACCATAGGCAAAAGCTCGCAATGAGGGCATCCGCCGTCAGCGAGCGCGAGAGCCGCGTGATCCAATAAACAAGCTACAGTTAGTGCAAAATGCAGCCGCAAGAGTTCTTACTAGGTCAAGAAAATATGATCATATAACACCGATTCTATCATCTCTGCACTGGTTACCCATAAAGTTCCGTATCAATTACAAGGTCTTGCTTTTGACTTATAAAGCTCTGAATGGTTTAGCTCCAGTCTATTTAACGGATCTTCTATCGCCCTGTAATCCACCGCGCTCTTTAAGATCACTAAGATCACAGGCTTCTGGTCATTCTACTATTCAATCTGGAACTAATGGAAAAGCTATTAAGACTGTTTATTTGTGTACTGTCTTCAACATCTTTGATTGATACAAAGGTCATGTATTTTTGTGATGATTTTTATTATTATTATTTATACAGTAACTCGTGAATGCCATTGGCGCCGACCCTGAGAAGTGTTACTAAGTGCTAATGTGGATTTCTGTCTAGATATGTAATAAACATTTAGCAAAGAAAAACCTCAAGATGTTTATTATAGATAAAGTAAGACAGTAACTTTTCCCTCAGCTGTATGGCAAAGGCAAGCACGTTTCAAATCAGTGCTTCTCCCGGGAGACTAGCGCTACCATTAATCCCCTATTTTAGCGCCATCTGCTGTTTTAGAAGAGGAAGTTACTCATCTGCATTTGTGAGAAAATCGAGCCGAGAGATCTCACAATCATAACAGACAGATATGCATTTGTATGCACTAGATTTGGTATTTGTTCAAAGGTTCCATGCAATTTGTAGGACGGTTTGTATTTATTTGTGAAATATTATCAGGGATCATTTATTTATATTTGTGAAACACAATATTGGTTACTCCACTGCATTTTAGCTCAAATTGACCTTTGTTTTGCAAATTGCTTTCTGTTTGTTTGCGAGTCGAGTTTTCCTTTGCAAAGCAGATCGAGTTTGTTTGCAAAATGCTGGATTTGTTTGTTTAATTTTGGCACATAAATCGCTCCATAGAAACGCTTCTGGGGGAGGGGAAGTTATTCTGATTCAAGATAACCAGAAACATGAATCGAAATAATTTATAAGAAATACTACTATTCCATGAAAAAAAAAAAAAAAACTAGAATTGACAATTTTGATGTCATGGTGACTTGAAAGCACAACATGAAGCACAAGTTGAAGCCACTGAGGCTCACACTCACAATGCTCCGCCTACTCCCAGCAGTCACAGAGAGAGAGAGAGAGAGAGAGAGAGAGAGAGAGAGAGAGAGAGAGAGAGAGAGAGAGAGAGAGAGAGAGAGAGAACCAAGCAGCCATTTTGTACTTAAAACAACATTAATCCAACATTAAATCAACTAAATAACAACAAATATTTAGAGAGCCGAGTGTCCTTCCATGGTTTTTGTCCTCCCTCTCCGTCTGCTGTTGTGGGTCTCTGTCTTTCAGCTTGTTTTAGAGAAACAGGAAGTAGTAAAAAAAAAAAAAAAAAAAGCAAAACAAGGAAGTGCAGGCAGTGTGAGTAGCAACAGAAGGCTGAGATCATCATGTATTGTGTTACAGCTTTGTGAAAACAGGGCAGTCAGAAAGAATAGAAGTAAAATTAACAAAACAAAGGGGGAAAGAGAGAAAATCATCAGCAGCATCACAGCGGATCATACGTCTGCAGCACAGAGACAAAGGAGACGGTGTCCACTTCAGAAAGACAGAGGTAAGACTGAGGATACATGAAGAAAACAGAAGACAATAGCTGTCCTTCTCATGCTGTGAGCTGGAGAGAAAGCCCGCTGAAGCTACATGTTAGGAGCGGGAAGCTTTTGTGTAATTCTCTGTGTGAGGATCCGGAAGGTTGTTAATGGTTGTGACTCCTGAACTTCCTCATTGTGTGTTTCAGCAAGACTCTGCTGTCCTCAGGTTGATATAGGGGAATGAGAACTTGCTTTGGATAATAGCATCTGCTAAATGACTATAGCTAAGACTGGCAGTCTATCCTGGGACTTTATTACCTTGTCTAACAAAATACAAAGTCCTAACAGCTATTATACTGAATAAAAGCAGTAGTTTCTATATAAAAGTCTTGCTGACCATAAATGTTTGAGTAGTATTGTATGCTACACGGCTAACTTGCAACTAACAACTAACCTGTTGTTTTTCTGAAGCCTGGTTGACAGGGTTAGTTCTGAGTTGACAAAACCAAACAGATCCAAGCAACTTGCAATTCTACATTCTCCCAACACTTGCTATGAACCAACTCAAGGTTTAGAAACAACATGTGCGCATGAAAGTGTGATGTTTACAGCCAAACGTGTGAATATGAGATAGATTCACATCTCTGCAAGAGTCAATGCAAGTGAATTTAAATAGTTTGTCATTTGTAAAGGTGCACAACAACACAAATTTTTGAAATTTTAAAGGCTTTTATGATAACATATTATTTTATTATAACATTATATTGATAATCTGTAAGCTTATTTTATATATTTTTATACAGAATATTAATTATAATTAATATTATTAATAATATACAAATATAATTAATTAAAAAGATTAGTAATTTATATTTTGATATTAATAAAAATGAATGAGGATTTATTATTGTATGTAGACAGATATTAATTAGCATAAAAAGGTCAGTTTTTTTGTCACATACCCAAAAATATGTGCGAAGGTGACAGAGGCGAGAAACAAAAAAACTCCTTTTAATGATAATGGAGAAAACTAACAAAACCCAGAGAATGAATACGATATGTTACTAGAGTGATTGAACTGTAAGGTTACAGTGTTAGGATTGTACGGAAAAGTGCAGTAAGCACTGAACTAAATCTAAATACTGCCCACTAAAATCAGTTCTGTCAGGCCCACTATCGTCAAATATGATTGCCAGTTATCAACAGTTTGGATTGGCGGTGTGGTTCAGTTCTGGGAGAACTCCCTGCGCATCCAGTCAGCCGAGCACAGATACGAGCAGCGATAACCCCCCTTAGGGGAAACACAACACAACCAACATGAATGTAGGCAGATATCATTCATTCAAGATTGTAAAGTACAACATAATTAGAGAATTTATTCTGATTCAAGGGGAATCTAAATGCCAAACCCTGACAGAGACAGGAGGAGCTGGGGAGGGAGGAGGGTAATGAGCTCCTGAGAAACGCCACAGCTGCTGATAATACTGAAGGAGCTTATATATGTATACAGTGATAGAGTCGTATTCCTATAGTAGACGTGGATCAGCTGAGAGTCACTGATGCGAGCTCGACTAACATGACGCTTGATTCTGGTTCCTTTCAAGATTATTAATGACATAAAATCCAAACTGTTGCCCGCTCCAGACCCTATGGCCAGTCTTTTGAAGCTCATTTTCATTTAATTTCAGCTTTTTAGTTTTTCAGTTTTATCCCCTTTAAAGAGAAATGAAAGGTAAATGTTTGTTTTCCGAGACGGGACAATGACTGGATGGTCTTGTTTACAATAAACATATATTACTCTGTACTGTACATAACTTTGTGAGCTCATGGAAACCTGTGAAAACCCACTCATGGGTACAAGTGGAAAACCTCTATATCAAACAGTTGCAAGAAGAAAATTGATGGGAAATGGCCCAATTTTTTTTCCTAGCATATCTATGTTAGCAAACTAATTACAATATTGCTATACACTTTTAGTTGACTGAACCATCCACACATTACTGTTATACCGAATTCACACTGATTTTCAGCCCGATTTTCAATCGTAGACAAATCTGTGTTTCCTTCACACGAGTCAATCACACAGTGTGAATTATCAAAGACGCGATCTGAGAGAATTGCCGACGCCTGTGAGATATTTGGGATGCTAAATATCTGGACCTGTCGGCGATCCACAATCCTGCTGTGTGAAAGTGTTCTGACTGAAAACTACATCTGCGATGACCGACAGCCAACGAGAGAGCAAGATCCAGGCCAGCGGGAGGTTCGGGGAGGAGTTATAGACCACAATATCAGTATTTTAATAGATGTGTACAATTATATCAAACAGAAACCAAGCACAAATATTTGCTTGACCAGTAGCAACAGCAACACATTGCAAAATGATTTATTTACCCCCAACTCTCTTTGCAGAACTCAATCCTTTCTCCCCACGTCTCCCCAAGGGTTTCCTCCTGCGTAATCTGTTTTATTTTTTGTCCTTTTCAGCGCACAGACAATTTGGATCGCAAGCTTCTTGCAGGCTATCATTAATAATAACTATTCCAGTCTCACACACGCTTGATCTTGCTTTACTTCTCGTGTGTATTTGGTTGTTCAAACGTAGTTTGCGGATCAGACAGAGTTGTCTGCGATTCTTCCTACTGTAAAGTCATGCAGTGTGAAACCTCCTATCGTTCAGCGTGAACACAGCAGCGACTGAATGCACAGATAGTCGTGCAGTGTGACAAGAACAGTGACCTGATGAGTTTGAAAATCGTGCAGTGTAAACTCGGCATTAATGCCAATCATTTTAATGCAATTGTCCTCTGCCCACTTTTAGGCTTCCACCCAGAAACTCCCTATCGCCGTGTTAGCGTCTCCCCCTGACGGTCATGGACGCCTCAGGAGGAAACAGGAGCTGTCTGAAGGAGGAGGACCTGCCGCAGATGGACGGCACATGCGATGCGTGTGAACCGGACGAGCCTCAGCCAGCGGTGTGGGTTTGCACTCGCTGTCGCTTCGCCTTCTGCAGCAGCCATGCAGACCGGCATACCCTGAGCACTGGTCACCCACTGCAGGCGTACTGCACCCCCGAGCCTCAGCCGGAGTGTGTGTGCCCGCCGCCCGACAGCGCAGCACAGGGAGCCTCCGCACCGCATGAGCTTCAGAGCCACACCGGAGCCGGCAAAAGAGAAACTGTGACCGTAGAGAGGCTGAAATGTAAAGAACACGATCAGGAGGGTTCGCTCTACTGTAAACAAGACCAGCGGGTCATCTGTGTGGTGTGTGCTGTGCAGGGAGATCACAGAGAACATGAGATTATCACTCTCAGAGAGGCCTACCTGTGGCAGAAGGTCAGTGAACACACACACACACACACTTTTTTTCTATACTTGTGAGGACATTTCATAGGCGTAATGGTTTTTATACTGTACAAACTGTATATTCTGTCCCCCTACACTAAGCCTACCCATCTCACACACACACACACACACACCCTACCCCTAAACCTACCCATCACAGAAAACTTTATGCATTTTTAATAAAACACTGTTTAGTATGTTTTAAAAGCCATTTGTAATACGAGGACTCAGGAAATGTTCTCATAAATCACGTTCACGTTGTAATACCAGTGTAATACCCATGTCATTATACACATTTCTGTCCTCATAAATCACAAAAACACACACACACACACACACACTCACACACACACACAGAGCACTGGTTATATTTAGGACACATAGGGATAGATCACCAAATGTATGTTCCAAAACTCTGGCTACGTTCAGACTGTCAGTCCAAATCTGACTTTTGTGCTTAAATTAATGTATTTTTGCAAAATAAATCGAAACAAAAAAAGAATCCTCAAATTGAAGACTGGTTTGTTTATTGAAGAAGCCGAGAAGTGTGCAGGGAATGAGTCAGTGTTGAGGACAGACCAGCAGAGGGAGCCAGATGCCCTCAGAGAGACAGTGGACAGCAGTGTTGACATGTTCATGGTTTGTTTGTGTTTCAGAGCAGAGAAGGCATCGATCTGCTGGAGCGCACGCAGGAGATATCAGACAGGATCAAGAACAAGTGGATCAGCCCAGACGTCAGTCACACTCATCACATTTTTGCCTTAAACTTCCACACATGCTGCACACAAGGAAATATTAAGCAAAAAATTATAGATGTGTCATGAAATGCAACTTATTTATGCATCTCTTTAGTCCAGGTGAATTCCGAGCCCGTTCTCATCCCAAGGCGTCATAAACTGACGCTTTTGACATTTCGTCTAAATCCAACGCACATTGCACCCTTTAGCGTCAATATGAGACGCAGATATATATGGGCCAGAAGGCGCCTCCTAGTGGTCTAACCCTAACCCTACCCCAGACCTAAACCTACCCATAACTATATTGACGCTAAAGGGTGCCATTGTGCGTTGGATTTAGACAAAATGTCAAAAGCGTCAGTTTATGACGCCTTGGGATGAGAATGCGTTGGAATTCCATCATTAAAAGAGCATTTCAGAGACCCAGACTCAGATGTCTCTGGACTGCCGTCGTGTGCAACCTCTAGGCGCCTAGTCTATTTTAATGGACACCTCGTCCAAAAGCCAGTGTTCTCCTCCTGCTCAGGCACTTTATGTGAAATATAGATACAAGATAAGTGCTTATAATTACAATTATACAATTATAATTGCATTTAATTGATAATAACTTAACCATGGTAAAACCCCAAAAATCAAGAAAAACTACATCGGACATGCAAATCATGTGGTCTTGCGCATCCAGTCTCTTCGCTTCGCTTCTGGAACGCTTCTGGTGTGTGTTGGCACCGCGTGGAGGACAGATACGCCGCAGACGTGTGCAGTGCAAATAAGGGGTCAGTGTGAATGGTGAAAGTAGCAGTATTTCATAATCGAAGAATAACATGTAGCCAATGTGTCAATAATAAAGTTGGCTTAATACAATCAAATCTTCTGGATCAGGTAAAAACACTAGCTGCTGGATTTTCAACCAAACGATAGGACGGTTATAGTAATAGTCTTGAGGTCAATGTATGACCTAGCATTTCTGTATCAGGAACAGAAAGCATGTTTCATAACTGAAAAATATGGCAGGTGAATGCAATACAACCAACTGCTGCTACTGGTGGTAGAAGAAGGGAAAGCAAATGATATGGACAGAGATATTTAGGAGTCATTTAGGAATAGGCTTTACCTCTAAATCTCAGTACCTCAGCTGCTGTGTTTTAAACAAACTGAAATGTGTTTATGGAGACTACATCCAGCCAGAAGTAAATATAATTATCTAGTCTTGTGGTTATGAATGTATGAACAAGCTTGTCTGAATCAGGAACAGACAGTTACATAACTGAACAATATTCCTTGGGAGAAAGCATTATTTTTCAATCCTGTAGTTGTCTTTGCACTCCAAATAGTAATAAGACTTGTTACTACACCAAATGATCATAAATTGAACAAAATTGAAGCAATTTTACTCGCATAAATCAATATACTCTGTAGCAAACCTCTACTGCTTGGCTGTTCATAGATGGGTGTGGAAGAGCTGGAGCGGTTTGTGAACGATCAGTTTGACGAGCTGCACCGGCTGGTTCGGCTGGAGGAGTGGCGTGTCCTACACCTGGTGGATCTGAAGGAGGCTTTCCTCACTGCCCAGGCCGCCGAGAAGATCTCTGAGATCAGTGTCCACACGGAGAAGCTTCAGGAGGAGATGGACTCCATCACACAGCAGCTGAGCGACCTGGATCAGATGGAGCAGGACGGGGTCGCGTCGATGTCCCTCGCCCCGCTGTTGGCCAACGGACCAGCACCAGCACCGGCACCTGAAGCTCTGCTGGAGCCCAGACCACTGGTTAGTCAAGCTTCTCATATCGCACATTATTTCGAAGAAGCTTCACTGAAAGAAAAAAACACAGTAATAATGCATGAAGAGGTTTGGGCTGGTTAACTAAGATAAGTACATTTATAATCCTTTAACACATTTGGCATATGCTTTTATCCAAAGCAACTTACCATGCATTCAAGGTATGATCTACAGGAACGCAAGAACAAATCACATTTCAGATATGGAATCGCAGCAGACATATTTGACAGTCAATGTATTGTAATGTTAAAGGACATTGATCAAAGAGATTTGTCTATAAGGTCCATCCCATATTGCTTGATGAGGTGGTCAAAGAGGTTTGCTTTGCAGTCTAACTGGTGGTTGTTTTAGTTACTACGTCCTTAAGATCGAGGACTAGGTGAAGGCATAGACGATTTCAGCTTTCTGTTTCTACCATCCATTGCTTTAATTCATTCATCAGCCGCATTTCCACCGCAGGAACTTTCCCCATGAACTAGGGACCATGGGGTGGTTCTCTGTGTGTTTCGACCGCAGGATTTACCCAAGTTCTGGGTAAATATTTCCCCTCAGAAAGTCCCTGCTTGCGAGAACCAAAGTTCAGGAACTTTCAGGGGTGGGACCTGAGCACTGAACATGCTGATTGGTGGAGTTCATGCCACATTTTGATTGGATGACTCCATGCAGCATTTCATTTCAACCACCATTTTTAAAAATCTGTTGCGGTGCGTGCAGTCCTACACAACCGGACTAATTTGCCTAATCTTCACAGTACTTGAAGACTGTGGTGGAAACGCAGAAAGCAACCGGTCTTGGGGGGAAAAGTTCCTGGGACAAATTGTTCCTGGTAATTCCGGTGGAAATACGGCTATTGACTGCTGTTGTTACTCACCTGTTCATCTACAGCTATCTGCAGTAAAGATCGCAGCATTTGGGCTTCTAACATCCTTCTGCGCTTCCTGACAAATATTTAAGTCAGTAGAAGATTATCCTGCACAACTAGCTACTCCAGAGAACCTGGCATTGTGGGATTAAGAAATAATGTTGGCTCAAGAAGAGAGAGGGGCAACTCTGGTCCTGGAGATTCAGTGTCCTGCAGAGTTTAATCAAACACATCTGCCTGTGTTTCTAAGTCAGTTTTCTTAAAAGCAGTGTAGCAAGTAACCAACGGTAAGGGAACAGTCTCTCCAGAAACCACTGGTGGTGCATGATATAGCAGAAGAACAGTGATTTCAAATGAATAACTTCTTTTCTTTGCTCTGTTTTTCAGATTCCTGATTTGAGACTAAGGTAAGGGATTTGAAATGATCTGTTGTTTCAGTAACTGCCAGGTACTCTTATAAATTACTATTTTAAATAATAAACTGGTCATTGATGCTGATTGTAAATAGCCGTGGTTTGTTGACAATATACCAATAGCTGAACATTATTTGGTTGCATACAAACTGTGGAGGGATTGACGACAGTTACAGTGGATGTGGATGGGCCCGGATGCAGGCTTTTAGAAATACTGAGGTCCCAAATTTTAGTCTCTCAAATGATGTACTCAGAACTTCCCCTCCAGATCCTGGGGAACACCAGATACTTCCCACTCCAGAGAAGAGGATTTTGGCAGGGAGTCAGAACGGCTTGGCAACAGAGGAGACACAGGCAGTGTATAAGACTGCATACTATTATCTCATCTGAGTCAACAGGATTGACAATCCGATAAGTCAGTCCCGGTTCTCCACATGAATCCATGACTTGTATAATACCGGCTTCATGCGGGGATTTGGCACCCACAAATCAACATCTAGATTATAAAATCTGATAAAAGTGTGCATCTGGTAAAAGCGTAGATGTACCAGTTTTAAAACAGTGCCCTGTGTCACTATTACTTCTGTATATTTAATTGGGATTTTGTGACCTCCAAGTTTTTAATTCCTGTGCCGGTTTCTGTATTTTGTCAATTGAATGTAAATGTATAATTCATGAGTCTTCCTTCCTCTTACAGAGCAGCCAATCATAGGAGGGATGTGGAAGATCCTTCAGGAGATGAAGAGAGAGGAGATGCATATATTGGACATACACCCTAAAACTAATGGCCATTCCATCGCCTTCTCTGGCTTTCTCCCTTCATTCCAAACTTATCGGGATAAAAAACTATGACTATCGCTGAATGTAACTGTGCTGATCATATTTCTTTAGTTTTAACCGCTTATTTCAAAATAGTTTAGTCTTGAACCAATTTCTTTCTTTTTATCAAAGTTAATAAAACAAAATGGAAATGCTGGAAAGGCAGGAAGAAAGTGAAAACACTACATTCTACAAGACTGATTTGTATTTTAAAGAAAAAAAAAACTATTTTGATAGAATGCTTTAAAACCTTTTTTTTATAATTATTCAGATTCCACACTGGTTTGATTCATGAAATCCAGTCTCTTACCTTCACATCATCATGCTATACTTTGATTCTATTTGAGTTTAAATGTAGAGGATTATAAATTTGGTCTTGCTGTTCATTGTTTGATGCATTGTTTCTAGTCCATTTGTTGGCTACCTTTTCTTTATCAGAATGAAATACCTGGGTCACTGATTCCCAGTATACCAAATATATTTCAACCCTGATCGTAACCTGCTGGAAACCCATTTCTTGTGTTTGGATATCAGTATGTTGGGTCTGGAATCGGCTTGTGTACATTTTTCTCACCAGTTTTAAATATATATTTAGCTTTTTTCAGTTCTCTTAGCATTTTTCTAAATTAGTAGATCTCTCTTTGATAACTAAACAATGCTTTGCTTTGGGAAAACATGAGATTATATATTTGATAATGGTCAGTGTTGGGGAAAGTTACTTTTATAAGTAATGAATTCCTGAATACTGCCTTACTCCCTACAAGTTCTAGTTACTTTTTTTTTTTCGTTGCTTTTTATGGAAAGGAATTCACTGTTACTTTTGCATTACCTTTTCTCACTTTGGCTTGCTTGTTTTTTAGTAAGAAAAAAGGTTATATTTTTGGCAGCAAATGTAAAGGCCTCAGTGAATAAGCCTCAGACTGAAGGAAACGCAAATTCACAGCTGTACAGCCCTTCCGCTCAAACAAACATCTCAGCGGTTCTGCCATTCTGGACCACAGAAGAACAGGACGCAGGAGAAGAAAGTTTAACACTCTTACTGTAGCAATGATAACAATAAAAACTTCTACTCAAATGTGATGTTAATTTAAAGTCATTTTTGCTTATTCGTATGGTTGATTTGGATCATCGAAGGTCAGCAGCATAGACATTGGTTAATAAAGTGAGATTAAATGCATATAAAGTATTTAATACGTCTCTGCACTTACGATTCTCTCAACATGAGGAAGGGAGCGCTGTCAGTCAATACATGCCAAAACAAAGAAACTTGTGTTACTTATTTGTAAAAGTAACTCAGATATTTTGTTGTAAATTATTTAAAAGTTATATGTTACTTGAAAAGAAGTAATCTGATTACGTAACCCCCACATGGTCTTTGATATTAGGAATACAGTGACCTCTGTATCTGTAACTTTAAGAGCTGGAAGAGTGAAGAACAGAGAAAGCAGTGATGAGGATACTGATTTATAGGGCAAGCTTGAAGATATGAGTTTAAAGTTGTTTTTTGAAGGTCCAGATGTTGTCGGTCGCACGAAGATTCGGGGGCAGCTTATTCCACAGCGTAGGGCCAACAACACTAAAAGCCCTACCGCCCACCGTGGAGAGTCTGACCCGGGGTACATTAAGAGTGTTGAGATGCTCTGTTATGTCACACAAATATGAACACAAGTCACTCAGCCATTTTTCATCCTCAAGCTAAGGGATGACCTTTTGTTTGCTTTCCATGAAACGAGCGATCTCAATGCGGGGTATCATGAAATCTTCGCAACACTTTACCCCGACTAAGCCAGCGGACCTCTGTGTAGTAGGGCACATCTTCGTGCACAGAGCCTTCCGCATCTAAAAGTGCTCTGTATTGCCTGTGATTCAATCCCCGTGAACGATTAAAATGTACTGTTTTGTTTACAACTGTCATTACATGTCCCATGCCCAACACTTTTCCACAGAGGGCCTCCTGGTGAATGATGCAGTGGTACGCTGTGAGGTTTTCTCCTGTGTGCCTCACCTTTTCTCGTACCAAACCACGGACCTCCCGGCACATCGCAGGCGCACCATAAGTTGTCAGCGCAACAAGTTTATTCCGTGTTGTTGACGCACTGCTCCACTTGTGAGAAGATGTCCTGTCCAGATGTTGTCCCGTGAATTGCACTTAAATCCAAAAGTTCATCAGTAACGGAAAACCTATCATCTACCCCTCGAATGAATATAGAGAGCTGGGCAGTGTCCGTTCTGTCTGCACTCTCATCTATAGCCAATGAATATGCAACAGTCCTTAACTTTTTCTTTTAGCTGGATCTTTAAGTCAGAGCCCAGCTCATACACGCGACTAGCCATGGTGTTTCGGGAAAGGCTGATGTTGGCAATGGCTTGCTTTTTGTCCAGGCACACAACACCACATACCTTTTCAATACAGTTTTTAATAAATTCCCCCTCTGTGAACGGCCTGCATGCTCTTGCTATCTCCTGCAATCATGAAGCTTACCTTCACAGCTCCCTCACCTTGACTGTTCATGTGAGTAAACGTGTTTTCTGTAGCTGAAGTTTGTGTTTTAGTTCTTTGACTTTAAGCAGCCGTAGTTCCATGTCCATGCTTCCATATTGATCATGTATCATTTCGAAATGCCTTCTTAGATTATATTCTTTGAAAACCGCGAGTGACTCTTGACATATAAGACACATTGGCGTTTCTTTGTATTCACAGAATAAATATTCGGTTTCCCATCTTGGTTGGAATTGTCGATATTCGCAGTCCACTATTCTTTTTTAGCCATTGTGCTTTATTATACATACACAGCACATGCTCTCTCTCCGACCCAAACGCACACACACATACGGACACACACTCGCATAAACGTGTTGTCAGCGTTGCTCTGACGATTTAATCAGTAAAATAGTTTAACAACTTAAAAGCTACTAGACATTTATCCTGGAGCGGATAAACTTACAGTCTCACTATAGGAGAACCGCTGCTGCCTAACACTGTTGATAGACACTTATCGAACACTTCTCTCTCTCTCTCTCTCTCTCTCTCTCTCTCTCTCTCTCTCTCTCTCTCTCTCTCTCTCTCTCTCTCTCTCTCTCTCTCTATTCATAACAGCATTAATCTGCTAATAATTCATCAATTATTCCTTACTTATTGCCGTATTCTCTAATAAAATTAGCTAGTTGAGTGAAGCGTGACAGCACCACCTGCGTCTCAATGTTGTAATTGTCACAGACATATATTTAAACAGCGCACGGGTCACATTAAATTGATCCCCAGAATTTGTTGGCGGGCCTGATTAAAAGTTGTGGCGTGCTGTGTTTGGCCCGAGGGCCTTGTAATTGACACGTGCTGTAAAGCCTTGCCACCCTCAGCCCCCTCTTGTATTGCCAGCCAGCAGCCAGGTGCGGTTCGAGGACCCAATTACGCCTTCTCACGCACCCCATGCCGACCTGTGGAGACAGGAAGTTGTTGCACCGCACACTCAGACCCTGCTTTGGGCCTTCCGAGACGGGTCCCTGTCTTCCCCCTCGCTGGCCCTCCCGGGTACGTCTGTGGTGCCCCTAGTCCCCCTGGCTTAGTTTGTGGAAGCCTGGAAAGCGCTTCCCAGTCTGTCCAGCTGGCTCCTCTGTACCATCAGACTCGGCTATACGATTCAGTTCCTCCGGCACCCGCCCAGGTACAGGGGTGTTCACTTTACTAGGGTGTTGAGCGAACGGGCCCCTGTCATGCGCTCGGAGATCGCAGTCCTACTGGCGAAGGGCGCGATAGAGCCGGTCCCTCCAGCCGATATGAACACTAGCTTCTACAGCCCGTACTTCATTGTACCCAAGAAAGTGGGTGGGTTACGGCCAATCTTGGACCTGTGTCTTGAATCGGGCCCTTTACAAGCTTCAAGATGCTAACGCAGAAACGCATCCACCCACGAGATTGGTCTGCAGCGATCGACCTGAAGGACGCGTACTTTCATGTCTTCATCCTCCCGCGACACATGCCATTCCTGCCATTCAAGGGTTGAGCATATCAGTATAAAGTCCTACCCTTCGGGCTGGCCCTGTCACCCCGCGTCTTTAGGAAGGTTGCTCCCATGAGAGAGCGTGGTATTTGCATCCTCAACTATCTCGAAGACTGGCTGATACTAGCTCAGTCTCTGGAACAATTCTGCGAGCACAGGGACCTGGTGCTCCGGCATCTAAGCCAGCTGGGTCTTCGGGTCAACTGGGGAAAGAGCAAACTCGCCCCCGTGCAGAGGATCGGTATTGGATTTTCTCGGTATGGAGCTGGACTCGGTCCACCAGACGGCACGCCTCACAGAGGAACTGAACTGCTTGAATACTGTCAAGAGCAGAACAGTGGCAATCTCCGTCTGACACCCCGGCCTGCTGCCAAACCCTCAGCCTGTGGTCAGACCCTTCGTTTCTCTGGGCCGGAGTGCCCCTAGAACAAGTGCCGCGAGGAGTTGCCCCCCCCCCCCCCCCCCCCCCCTTTACCCTCTTGGGACTTATCTCTGGTGCTGATGGCAGTGCAGAGACCTCCCTTTGAGCCATTGCAGGCAGCGGAGTTAAAAGTCCTGTCTATAAAAACGGTTATCCTGGTTGCTTGGGCCTCCATCAAGAGGGGGACCTGTATGCATTTTCTGTTGGCGAATCGTGCCTGGAATTCAGGCCAAGCCGGTAGCTTTCTATGTGCTCTCTTCTCTTAGAAACCAGTCAACACCGTAAGCCCCTCTCGAAGTGTCGGCTCAAAGTGTCGCTCGAAGACCGGATATGTGGGCCATTCTTGCTTCAGTTGAGTTCCCCGTTGCCGAACCCTGTTGAGCTCCTTCACATCCCTCGACATTCGGACGTGGCGAAGCATCCGACGCCAGGCCTAGCACTCGTATGAATTGGTGGAACCTGTGCTAGGCTGGGTTACATATGTTGTGATCCCCCGCTCTGCCGTCTCTGACTGGTGTTGTCTACCCCCTGCTATAGGCCGGAGGCACCCCAGTGACATTCCATATGTTGTACTGCCCGGAAACACCCAGTCCATATGTGTAACTTCCACATGATACCTCCCTACGGGCAGGATGTGGCTTCCGCAGTGTCTCCCTTTCCACTGAAAGGACACGCTTTCCCAGTGTCATCCAAGTCTGTCTGAGT